TTTGACAGTCACACTCTGTTTTGTCATTACATGCATGCGCCTTTTACGAGCTTTATAGCTCTGTGAGCTTTATTTCAGAGATGTCCATTATGACAGCTGATCCACAGCCTATCTTAGTCCTTGGGTCCGTGTGCCTGGTGGGAAGCAAAGCTCATTGGCCACATGAATCCCAGATTCAGAGAGGAATAGGGGACCTGTCTTTCCATGCACTGTTTAACTTAAGAGCAGAGAACTTAAGAGAAGGCTCCACTTTCTCTCAGGTGCAGCTTGTGCTCTCTGCCTTGGACAGCACAATGGAAGAGCAACAAAGATGGCTGCTCTGTCCTTTGTGTTCACTGAGTTTTCAGTCGTACTGTGTAACTGGGTGTGATGGTAATGGAGGAAAATTTCTGGTTAATTACATGTCTGTGCCTAAGTATGAAAAGGAAAATATAAAAAATATATAAACATTAAATACATTACTATGTATATAGCAAGGAAGGAGGGGATTCAATGAATTTTAAAGTAACTCAGATCTCATTTTCATCCTATGTATTTCCTGTCTTTACCACAGCGAACTGAGGCCCATAACCATTCCTGTGATCCCTATATGTTTGGTACTGTCTTTTCCAACTAGTGTTTAGTTTTCCCAGGACGTTTTCTTTTTAACAAAAATACAAATTTCTTAAATGTTTGAAAGCCAATGAGAATCTGTCTCAAATTTTAAAATTAGGATGCTGGGACTCAAATGTCTTACATGATTTATTTAAACATATTCTCATCTTAAATATGTCCCTTCCCCTGTTAATCCCTGTTGCTTTTTGCAGTCCAATAGAAAGTGTAGGTATGTTTCAGCTTTCCTATTGGGTCCCAACATTGATGTCATATGCAAGCAATTCAGTGGTCTTTCCCACTGTGCCAGTCAGTGGATAGGCTGCAGAGACCAAGGCCATTCTACAAGTGAACATGAGGACTCTAAGGAGAGCATTGTGATTACTCACATTGACCCCTGGAGCCTCCTGGTCTACCTGGAGCCTCCTGGTCTACCTGGAGCCTCCTGGGCACATGGATTGCTTCCTTTTACTCCTTCAGTCTTTTGGGATCCAAGACTATTGTGTAGTGCCACTGTCCTAGAAATTACTATGCAAGTCCTGGGACTCGCAATACCTTTCCTCCACCTTCTAAGTTCCAGGATCGAGGCTGTGCATCTTCCTCTTCTTCAGGCTAGACACAATCATATGACCTTCCTACAGGACAAATTAAGACTAGAAAAGATTTCACTGAATCTTAACTGACTTAACCTAATACCTCCCCTTGGACTTTGCAAACCTTTGACTTATCTGAGACTGGATTATTAGCGAAACAGGACTCTATTTCCAAAAGAGATCTGGTTGCTGTCCAATTGCTCATTTTTAATAAACAGAGGTGCATATAGGCCATTTTGTTTGGCTCATACTTATATATTTAGCAAAGTTCTGTTTTGACCACATTGATAGAATTATTTTCATCTACTCTTTGATGATCCCGGCAGGAAAGAACTTTTGCCAGGATTTTTAAAGGTCCTGTATCTCTGATGTTGCTCTTTGTAACTGGATGAGGATAGGGAAGTTCTAGATCTGAGTCTGATTAATAATACAAGCTCAGGAAAACCTAAATACTACCTGGCATTTGTGGTTTAAAAAACTGCTCATAAAATTGATGTATGCAAAGTCTATAAAGAGTTATCATCGATATGATTTTATTCATCTGATCTTAATGGAAACAAGTTCATGAAGTTGGTAGAAAATTATGACCTTTGTCCATCAACACCTTGGTCTGTGTGATTTCCAACATCTTCCCACATAGCTATGTGATACCCGGTCAGTCTTTGTCTTTGTTCAAACAATAGACAGGGCCTTATTCCCACTGTGTGTGCCAGGATAGCCTCAAACTCACAGCAATTCCTCTGCCTCAGCCTCCCAAGTCCTGAAATTACCAGCCTGGTGCCACCATACCCTGCTCCCAATTGTTATGATTATTTTATCGGAGCTCATTCTACCTAGGCAAGATTTAATTCTGAGGACGATGAGAGTCACACTATTCTTATTCCCAGGCATATTTGAAAAGAGGATTCTATAAAGGAAATGCTGAAATTAAAGGGTATAATCTCAAATGGTTGAGTCTAAGAAATGATAGCATCCATGTCAGTCCCTGTAGAGCAGTGGTTCTCAACCTTCCTAGTGCTGCAACCCTTTAATACAGTTCCTCATGTTTTGGTGACCCCCCTCAAGCAATAAACTTGCTTTCATTGCTGCTTCATAACTGTAATTTTGATACTATTATGAATCAAAGTAAATATTTGTGTTTTCTGATGGTCTTAGGTGACCCCTGTGAAAGGTCCATTGGACCTCCGGAAGAGTAAGGACACACAGGTTGAGAGCCACTGCTTCAGAGGCTAGATGGAGAGGATGAAGGAGATTGAAAGGAAGACACATGTTTATAACATTTGACTGATTCTTTCTCCTAATATCCCTGGATAGATTGGCTCTAACTGCTTTAATAGTGAAGGCTAATTTTAAATCCAACACATTCTTTCGTTGGTTCACCATATTACCTGCATTTACTCCTTTTCTGCCACTGTGTAAATGCATGCATATCTGAGCTCCTGAGAAATGTATATGAAATTTAACTATAGCATCAAATTCTATGTGGCCTCCAGGGGCGTTGCTTTCTGCTTGGGTTGTCTTCTGTCTTCACTAAAAACATGCCACACATCCCAGAATCTGTCCCATCACATCTTCCTTTCACTTTTTGTATGCCTAAGAATCAAGGTACAAAGATTGACAAAGTACGTATCCCTGCCATGTCCTTCTCTACTTCCTCCTACTGACGGCTTTGTAGCCAGTGTGAGGGGCTCCATTCTAGGCTAATTGCTTAGTCTCAAATCCCATGTGCATTAGAGGCAGCTAGTTAGGTGTAACTTACTATGAAAACTGACCACACCATCCCTGCTCATTTAGTCTTATCATCGCAGTAGGATGGTCATTCACAGACGTGCACTCAGTGAGTTAGAAGACACTTTCTATTTCTCTTTTGAAAAACTTTTCATCCAGATGGGACATTCTGTAGACAATGTATACTGTCCTTTGCCTATAGACCATGAAATCAACATTTTTACGTTCCAAACACAGTTCTCTCTCTCCCTGTCTCCTCCTACCCCCTTGCCTCCCCCCAGCCCTTCCCCAGTCCACTTCCCTTCATGGATAAGGGCTCCCATGAGGTGTCAATATAGTTTGGCACAATAGGTTGGGTCAGAGCCAGGCCCCTCTCCTGTGCATTAAGACTGAGCATGGCCTCCTACCATAGGGAGTAGCCTCCAACAGGCTAGCTCATATACCAGGTTTGTAACAGTGATATTTTCTTTGACCAGGACATTCTTAGATTCTCAGATGTTACTGATGGAAGTGGTATGTGTGTGTGTGTGTGTAAATGAACTATATTTTAATAGCTACATTTACATGAAAATAGTCTGTTAAACTAGTGTCCTTGAAGCTCCTGAGTTAAGCTTACTGGATACTGCAGACTTCCTGGGCGGGGGGGGGGGGGGGGAATAGAAAAAATCCAGAGGTTACAAAATTGTGGAAAATACCAGTAACAAACCCAAAACAAACTGGGTCAGAGTCTACGTACCTCAGCTTTAATACTGTGTGATTCCATGGCAATGACAGTAAACTGGGTTCTCTTGTATGCTGATAGATGGCTTAAGTTGTTCCCATCAAGTTAGATACAGACGTTGATGAATAGAGTACAGAGTTCCAAGGCCACAGACTTGAGAGAAATTTTAATCTAGTCCTTACAATTGTACTATTGTCAAAGGTTTGCCAAGATAAAGCCTGCGCTGTATTAAGGATTTCAATGCCCCATTAGTTATTTGTGACTGCATTTGCTGGGCTCCTTCCCCTGTAATACAATGGTCTTCAATAGTTGGTTGTGTTCTGTGAGCAGTGTGCTGTGGGTAGCAAGTGGCTCTGCAGTGTGCATGATCTACCAGTGTCATTCACGACAGTCTCTTTCCAGCAATCTGGTGAATTGTCAAGAGACTTGAGCTATAGCTGCAGACGCCAATGGCTGCCTTTCTTGGAACCACACTATCCAGAGAGCATGACTGGAAAACTTGAGAGGAAGGCGGCCTACCTCCCCTTGCATGCTTTTCCCTATGTTTAGAGTCAACTGGTTTCTTAATTTGGAAGCAATGTAATATCATGAGGGGGTAGGATTAAGCATTATATTTTTCTTGAGCATCACATTATTTTTAACACCGTGCTCTCCATGAATGTAAGCCACACACTGCATGCTTTTAAAAGACGATGTCTTTTGAGATCTAATTCATGTCTATTTGTATCTCAAGTAATTCGCCAACTCAATATTTTGGCTGAGCAATCCAAGTCACATTGTGGTCCAAGTAGCAGGCACTTCCATTGGATATGGGGAGCCTTGACAAGCAATTAGTGATGAATATTTAATTGCCTTCATTACCCTTGAGTGAGCAATGCAGATGGCATTTGGGATGTGGTGATGGGAGGTGAACTCCTCTGAGCTTTGTTTCTGGTCACCTGACTACAGGAAGACTTTCTTTGGGACTTAAGCCACCCCTACAACTCTCTACTGAATAAAAATGAAGCAGGGTTCCCAAATGCAGAGCTGGTTGCTGATGGGAAATCTCTATGTGCACTTTGTGACTAAGGAAGGCTGTCTCCAAGGGGTCTCAGCCTAAGCTCCTTCAGGCACACAAAACCCAAATGCCAAGACTTTTTCTGGGTTTCAGAGAGTCAAAGTCCCCTCCAAATCCCTGCTGATTGTTTTCCTTAATTGCCTTAGCGTTCCGTGTTGAACATGCAAAGGTGAATAAACCAATATCCCGTGGCTCCTAGCAGCCAGCTTTATTATGTATGGCCCAAGGGGAGAAATGTCTTTGAGTAATTATAGTTTCAAGATTCTCATTTTAAATTTCTTTCTGTTTTTTTTTTTTTTTTTTTTTTTAGGAAAAAACAACACTGGAGAGTCTGACTCAGCAACTGGCGGTGAAGCAGAGTGAAGAAGGGAAGTTTAGCCATGGAGTGATGGATTTCAACATGAGTGGGGACTCAGACGGTTCGTGACCATTCCACCCTCAGGACCCACAATGCAGGCAGGGGTGGAGGAGGCGCATTTAGAGCAAGAGAATAGACAGGAAGGCCACTGCCTTCCTGGCCATAGTGGGGGCGGGGTGGGGTGGGGCGGGGGGCGTGGTCTGTGGCACCTGTCAGTGCCACTGCAGACAGAGGTTGACCCCAGCAGTGTGGACTCATTGCCCCAGGATCAGGGGGCTGCATGTGCCAAAGGCAGGGCTTAGATCTAAGATGGCGTAATTCCAAAGCAAGTACCCTGGCCCAGAAGCTCTCCTGCCTCTCGCCACTTTCTTCCCTGCACACCAAACTTTGTAGAACTGTGTATCTTTCAGCTGATTTTTGCAGCTTGCATTTTTCAGCTAAATACACAGCACAGAAGACACAGCCTGGGCATTTTCCTTGTATCTGGGGCCTCCCCTGACACACGCTCCTCACACTGACAGACACTACTCTAACCCAGCGTCCAGACCCCACCCCCACCTTACCAGGACTGCCTGCAGAGAGCTCCACCCACGTCCCCGTTCTATACCTCACATGTGTACAACTTCAAACATGGCAGCCAGCAGCCAGAACCCAATTCAGCTGAGGCAGTAGAGGGAACAGAAGAAAGTGTACTTCTCCATGCAGGACCCCAACCCGGTCTTCCCTCCAGGGCCAGGTGAAGTGTGCTTTAGGCATTTAGTGGCCAAGCCCTGCTACAGGCTGGAAGAGGACTCAGCAAACCGAGGAGAAGCAGAATGTAGAAGAGAGGGAGTCCCTGAGACTCCTCAACAGGCACGCTTCTCTAGTCATCAAGGGCCTCACCAGCTGACAGATAGGCAAGCGTGACCACCTCACTTAATGGCCCCTTGAAATTGAGCATGGGTGCCTGGAACAGCAGAAACAAAATCTTGCAACCAGTCTCGCCTACGCCTAGCTGCTGCAACACGGAGAAGAAACCTGGCTAGCTGGCGCACGCATACACACACACACACACACACACACACACACACACACACACACACACAGGCAGAGAGCCCATTCAGGGTTGACGGAGCCCCGCCCTGCTGCTCCTGTGGCTTCTGTTGCTGTAAGGTGTGAGAACAGGAAGCAGCAGATGTGCCTATATGATCGTTCCCTAGTTACAAACCCATCCCAGGAAGGTGCATTAGCACAACTGCTTGCCAGTCAAGACCACATTCCCATGAATTTTAAACTATGCCCGCACGAGAAAATATACTCTGGCACTGAGAGTTACAACAGCAAAGCTCGTGTCGCCCTTGTCTAATTGAGTAGTGTGCTCATATACAAAGTAGCTTCCAGTCCACACCAAGCATGGAGCATGCAATGAATGAGGGACCATGAGCCATGCGACCTAGACAGATGCTACTTTGCGGCCCTTGTTTTCAGTTTGCCAACCCTGCAGAGGTGATACTGACCGATTGCTTATTGGTTCCTCAGATTAAGGTGTACAGGTGAACAGGAGGGACTTTTAAAAGAAAGGCATGATTGTTTCCCTGGTGGCACAAGCACCAGGAACTCCCAGATTCTAAGTTTTATGCCGTTTTTCCTTGCTTTCAATAACGATAACAGTGAGGACTTAGCAGCAGAGTGCCAAGCTCCCTGTCTCCCCTGGTTCTCATCTCCCAAACCCAAGCATCTTGGCGTCCCAGCTGTGAGACCCTCTGTCACAGCTGCTTTAAGAAGTCACATAAGGCCAGAGGTGGGAGAGTGCAGTGCAGCTTCCTGTGTGACTCCCGGGGTTGAGGGACACCTCATCATTGACGCTTGATATCGACATACAACCATCAATTGGTCCACTGATTACATTCAGTGAAATATATGGTTTTCCCCTACCTTAAACATGACAGAAAACTATCCATTGCCTTCTACATAGACTACATATATATGTGTGTGTGTGTATGCATATATGCATACATGCATACACACACACACACACACACACACACACACACACACATATATATATATATATATATATATATTTGAAAAGAAACACCAACCACATTAACGGGAGGTCTTTATATTGTTTTGACCGAAATTCTATCTAGCATGTTTCTACTAGTGTGTCCTCAGAGACAAAGGGGAGGTACAAATACTTCAATTTCTCACAATCTTGGTGTAGTCTTTCCAATATACCCTAAGAATCCAAAAAAGTAATAAGTCTGCTTCCTGTGAGCTATCCAGTAAATGCTCCAACTTTCCATTGTTCATTGAAAACCCAAGATGTAATGAGAGCTGGGTTTTAAAAATTACACATTTGCCACCACAGGGTTATCTCAGATACTTCATAAGCAAGCACCTGCCTTAGGGACTGGGAATCCCATTATCAGAAAGACGTTTTGTTTTCAGATATTTTAATAGACTGAGAAAACAGTCATGATGGAGGTAGCTTCTCAACACTGACAGAAATGTTGATGTTCCCTGTTTCTAGGAAGTGCCGGAGTTTCAGAGTCAAGAATTTACAGGGAATCTAGGGGGCGTGGGAGCAACGAGCCCCACATAAAGCGTCCAATGAATGCCTTCATGGTGTGGGCGAAAGATGAACGGAGGAAAATCCTTCAGGCTTTTCCTGACATGCACAATTCCAACATCAGCAAGATACTGGGTAAGGAGAGCGGAGGGCCGCGTGGGTACCGGGTAAGGAGAGCGGAGGGCCGCGTGGGTGTCCATAGATGTGTGGTACTCTCTCTCTCTTGCTGGGTATGAAAGGCAGGCTGCCCCTGTCTTCTGCTGCTACAGCATATTAGCGCCATCATTGAGGGCCCTGTGAACAACACAGTATCCCGTGTTCTTGTACTGGCCCCTGGAGAGTGGCCATGCCTGTGACCCTGAAGTCCTCCCTGCTTTAAGATTTATGACAGAGGCCATGTTGCTTCTACACAAGCCATTCCTAGTGATGACCTTCGTGTCTCCCGCTCCCTTGTGAAGCAGCCATGCATGTCTCATCCCTCGCTCGTTCTCCTTTGTAGAAGCATCTAAGTTTTAGAGTTGTGCTTAGTGTGCACGGTGCGTAGTGGGAGGAGACAGGAAAGCTACAGGCTGGTTAATCAGAACAAAGGATCTAGAACATCCACTCCTATGCAGTCAGTGACTCCATGCAGTCTGTGAACCAAAGGTGCTCGTGGTAACTCTTAGGGACATGGCGTTGTTGTGAGCTTAACTGAAAAGAAGCTTAATTTAACCAGAACAGCCCCAGCATACCAGAACACAGGGCACACATTTACCCCAAAGCAGACACAGAGAAGATGGGAAGGGAGGGAGGGAGGGAGGGAAGGAAGTGAGGGCAGGGGTTATTGGACAGATGGATGGACAGACAGAAGGAGGCAGGGAGGGCACAGAATATAGGAAGACTTCTGCAGACTGACTTAAGACAAGATCCAGGCAGGGCGAAAGGGAGATGAAGGCGCCAGTCTCCATTTGCCTTTGGACCTTTGCCACTGACGTTGTTACTGCCACTACCCTCGTCGTTATTTCCAAGGAGCACGATTCACTACAACATCAAGGTGGACTTCACATTGCCCATTCTCTAACAGTTAGGGTTGGGAATGAAAGCACCAAGCTCTATCAGAAAAAGAGCAGGCCTTGAAGACAGGACGTAGCATGTGCGTAAACTACTGAAGCTAATTAAAGTCGATGATGCTCTTGGAATCTCATAGACGTTATAAAGAAATACCTCTGCGGATACGTTAAAGAACTGATTGCCTACACATGGTAACTGAATGTAACCCTCTGTGTTCACACTTTCATATTCTCAACAAAGGCAGTCGATGCCACCTAGGTCACAGGATGTGCACGCAATGCCATCAAGTCACATAAAAACACATGCGTGTGTGTGTGTGTGTGTGTGTGTGTGTGTGTGTGTGTGTGTGTGTGTGTGTGTGTGTGTGTGTGTACTTCTGAAATGGTTTTCAGATGAATACATGGATGTTGTCTGAAAGATTAGAAACAGGGTTTGTATATTTGAGAACATAAACTCGTACAAAGTAAGCCGCTGGTCGTGATGAAGGTGAAACCAGTATCACTGATGACTCTGCTGTGACTCAACTATGTCTCCGTTAATTTCTTCGTTCTACTTCATCATTAATTTGCCACACTTTTAAAGACAGGGCCTTACTATGTAGACCAAGCTGGCCGCAAACTCATAGATATGCCCACCTCTCTCTTCCAAATGCCAGAATTAAAGGAGTGTGCCACCATGTCTGGAGGGATCCCTCAAATTGAGCATGCTGTACCTGCTTCATCTGGAGTCACCTTGACAGAGGAGCTCAGTACTAAATCCATCTCACTGGTTAAAACTTTATTCTATATAGAAGAGCAGACAGTTGGTGGCTGGGGAGGAAGCTCAGTGGTTAGGAGCACTTGCTGCCTGAGTTAGGTTTTCAGTACTCAAGAAGAGAGGCTCAGGACCGCCCCCAGCTGCAGCTCCAGAGTACACAGACCCTTCATCCTCTCTCCATCAACACACACACACACACACACACACACACACACACACACACACGGAAGTCTTTGAAAGTGTTATTTTGGTTGGTTTGTTTGGAGACAGGGTTTCTCTGTGTAACAGCTCAGGCTGTCCTGGAACTAGCTTTGTGTAGATCAGACTGTGTAGACAGATACCTGCCTGCCTCTGCCTCCTGAGTGCTGGGATTATAGGCATTTGACACCCCACCTGTGTGTGTGTGTGTGTGTGTGTGTGTGTGTGTGTGTGTGTGTGTGTGTGTGTTCTTTTTTTTAAGACAATAATTTTTCTAGGAAATGTAGCAAAGATTCTTTACGGTACAGTACTAACTGATTAGGAGAATCTGTTAAGGTGGGAGTTGCTATATAGCCTCTGACTTATATTCTACATATAAGGTGGTTCCAGGCCAAGCCTCGCTGATAAAGCCATATTAATTAAACATACAGCATTTATAGTCACACAAAAATTAAACACCAAAGTGTTCTGGGCCTCGATATTTAGTTATAGCTTTAAATAAAAATAAAATCTTCAAATAGCCACAAGATGGTTCTGAATGGCCTATTTCATATAAAAAGTACAAAGGAGGCTTGATGTTTTTCTCTTTACTGATTGTTTTGGATAACAGCCTCCGACAGCATGCTGCTAATTCATTCTGCTTAAAACAGGCGCTTGAGCTGGGTTGACATTTTACGTAGTCTCTGGGGATCCTAGTTGACATTTTAAAGGGCTTCTAAGCATTTTATAATACCCTAAAATCTGGTTTTAATAAGCCATTCTGCTGAAATTGTTAACATACGGAATCACCTTTTACTGTTTGGCGCGAGATCAGGGGCTGGGGGACATCTTTTTCTGATTAGATATACAGTAGTCAGAGTAAAATGTGCAAATTCATTACATGCCCCATGGAGATGACATCGCTGCTCAGTACAGGCTCTCCTCATGTAGCATACTGCCAGACTCAGAAGTCGGGGTGGGGGGAGGCGAAGGCAAAGGCTACTTATTTTCTCTTATTTTGAGCATCAAATATTTTTTTGCTGTAACTTACTCTTCTGTTATGAAGAGGCATTCCCCAATAGTCTATTCATTTTCATTGCAAACAGCCCCACAGCAAGCCACTTCCTTGTTATACTTGGCTCTGGGAACAAATCAAGTAGCTGTTTTCATCTCTTTGTGGGGAAGGGGTTAGACGACCACAATGTCTTTGCCATACTCGGTGGGTGTATTTATGGGATCTGCAGTCAACTGCTATTGTTGCCGGGAAGCCATTGAGACCAAACCCAACTTATCAGTTGGCTATCTTTACCCAGAGGGAATGTTAAAGGTGTAAACTAGTTTTGCCTCCAAACTGAGACTGTGCGGTTCTAATGTGGAGCTGAGCCACTCCATCCCAGGTGCTACCTGGATACCATGATTCATAATTATGAATAAATAAGGCTGTAGGCTGAGTAGTGGGAACATGCATGCTTGTAATTCCAGAGTGTGTAATAGGAGAGACCCTGTCTCTAAAAGCAAAAGGTACTGGCTTAAGGCTGGGGATTCTGAGGGGAAACATGTCAGAAGTTAAAGCAGAGAGTTTTAATTCTCAACCTACCAACCAACCCACCATTATGCACATGTTAGGAGATGTAGGTAAACATGAAGGTCAAGACAAGACAGGTTACCTCCTTCAGTGAGCATTTCCTTTCCTTAGCCAAGAGATATTTTAGAGAAAATCTTCAATGATCTAACTGAATCCCCTTATGTCTATATTCGGTTTTCAGAGAAGACAGAATCAGAGACCCATGATTCTCTTTGTATTTCTTCTCCCCAGGGGACTTTTTCTGGTAAACTGACCCTTATGAACTGATCTGTGGTTTGAAATCTGGTCAACACTCTGGCAAGAAATGCCATGAAAAGACTCAATCTCATTCAACAATATTTAACAATATCTGTGTTTCTGACCCTGTGGAGGTCACACACCAGATACCTGTATATCAGACTTTCACACAATTATTCATAGCAGTAGCAAAATTAAAGTAATGAAGTAGCAACAGAAACGGTTTTACAGTTGGGGATCAGCACAACATGAAGGTTGCAGCATTGGGAAGGTGTCAGCCCTCTTCACCCACCATGTGAGTCAGGCTTGGCTGATGAGCATCACAGGACCCAGGATGACTCAAGGTTCTTAGCACAGTTCTCACATGTGGTAACTCCAGATCCTTCTCCTAGCCTAAGTCCCTATCTAAAGGGGTTAATTCGGAAGTGCAGTGAGTTTTACAGACACTGTCTCTGAAACAGCCACATGATACGTGTGCCCTCAACATAGAAATATACTCCAAGACTCAGTAAGCTATGGAGTCACAATATGTGTTGGATTCGCATGGGGTTTTCGCCGGTTTAAGTGCATCATATAAAGTTCTTGAGCTTTACAGTGCATAATAAGCGAGTTTAGTTAGCTGTTCATTCAAGTCAAAAATAATGCACTGCCCAGTGATCATGTCTTTGGGTGCATAATTTCCTTGCAGACACCTCTGCTCTTGTGAAAATCTCGCCTTTCAAGTTGATTTCGCTAATCAGAAACATGTTTATATAGTTCTGGATTTTGTCCAACATTTCTTTTTTCTCTCAATTTCTTCCTTGTTCTCTGTGGCATCTCTCTCTCTCTCTCTTTCTCTCTCTTTCTCTCTAAGGATTCTTGGAAGCTCTGTGAGTTGGCATCCTAACCTCCTTGTCTCCACAGGGTCTCGCTGGAAAGCTATGACTAACCTAGAGAAACAGCCATATTACGAGGAGCAGGCTCGCCTCAGCAAGCAGCACCTGGAGAAGTACCCAGACTATAAGTACAAGCCCAGACCTAAGCGCACCTGCTTGGTGGACGGCAAGAAGCTTCGCATCGGGGAGTACAAGGCCATCATGCGGAACCGGAGGCAGGAAATGCGACAGTACTTCAATGTTGGGTATGAGAACTTCCTTCCGGCCCTATGTCACATAACACCAACTTCCTGTTGTCCACAAGGGAACATCCCCCTTGGCTGCCCAGTTGCAAAGCAAACTTTTGGAAAGGAACCTACAGTCTTCCCCCGCCCCCCCAAGATTATTTTGTACCCAGTAAGTAGCATACATAACATACAGACAGAGAGATATGTGTTTCTATGTTTGTATGTGGAGAGACATCCACTGCGAGCCCCTTGCTCCCCTGAGTTCTATTCACAAGTCATTTCAAATCACAGTCACTTCAATAATAAATACAGTCTTGATGTTTGCTGTTACAAGCTTAGAGGTATGGCCAGATCTTGCCAGGTCTTCTCCTGGCTAATGTTCATGACTTCCAGCACTTTGCTATGATAAGTTTCACTACTGGCAGCTTATTCAAGATAACACAACCCAACAGTAGTTCCAAAAGAGTCACTTTCTTCTGAGTACTGTGGAGCTACACACACACACACACACACACACACACACACACACACACACGCGCGCGTGCTTTCTGTGTGTGCATCTTCTACAGTAGAAATTACATTTAGGACACAGCAAGGTCACAAACAGAAGAGTTCCATCCTGAATTTAGAACCCCGCCTCAAGGATGCTCTCCGCACAGTGATGCTGTAAGCACTGCAGAATTCTCAAGATACACAAGAAAGAAGTCACTCGTGCTTGAAACAGTATGATACAGAGAGCATAGGATAGCAAAGGGCACTCTGGGTATAGGCAGAAGGTGGCTGAATAATGAAAGCAAAAGGATCATACCAGCCCCACACCCTCCAGAGCCAATGTGCTCTGTGCAAGGCTCTGGGATGCCACTATTTCTGGAGCATATAGTAAATCTATGAATGGATAAACGCAAGAAGGAAAGCCCAAATAAATGCCTGGGAATCCCATCACACCAGTATCAGCTAAATCAATCTTTAAAGTTCAGTGAAAAACTGTGAGTTCCCATGTTAAAAGGTTTTAAAGACTGGGACAATAGGAAATAAGTATGGAACTGTAGGCAATTCCTGGGGTGGTATGTCTATAAGGCTGGCTCAGCCTGCAATCCCCAAAGGGCTCACACCATTTCACACACTAGGTAGATATCATTACAGCTTTACCTTCTCATATTTTGGGAACCATAACTTTATTCTGAAAGTTCTAAATAGTTTAGATTTTTTCCCCATTATACTTGAACTATATCTTTAGGCTCCATTGCAGGAAAAACAAAAATCCCTTCCATCCTTCATCATGAAGAACTGGGAGGCAAGCTTGTGGATAATTTTGCTTAATCTTTCTGTGATAATTTTTTTTAACCTAATAATAAAACAGAATTATTTTAATTGTCAAATGGCAATTTGGTTAAATGCCTCCTAATCTATGAGGCAAAGCACAGGCAGGGGAAGGCACTAGAATCCACACAGGGTGTCACTGAAGCATGTTGGGCAATGGGGTGAATGCTGGTTCCAGTTAGTGCTGAGGCAGGGGACAGCTGAGATCTCAGGGAGACACTCACCCACTCTTTCTGTGACAGGCAACAAGCACAGATTCCCATTGCGACCACTGGAGTTGTGTACCCTGGAGCCATTGCCATGGCGGGAATGCCATCCCCTCACCTGCCCTCAGAGCACTCGAGTGTGTCCAGCAGCCCAGAGCCTGGGATGCCCTTGATTCAGAGCACTTACAGTGTGAAGGGAGAGGAGCCTCACATCAAAGAGGAGATTCAGGCTGAGGACATCAACGGAGAGATTTACGATGAGTATGATGAGGAAGAAGATGACCCAGATGTGGATTATGGGAGTGACAGCGAAAACCATATCGCGGGACAAGCCAACTGATAAGGGCCAACAGACTGTTGCGTGGCGAGCCGAGGACTTAAAGAAGCCCTAGCTGCTCCATCCTTACCAGTGGCCAAGCACATTAACTTTCTCATACACTGACTGTTATTTGAACTGTTAGTCTTAAATAGTTGGGACATCAGCTGACAAATAGACCTCAGCCTCAAAAGGCTCGGAAAGGAAACAATTTCCAAGCAGACAACATCAACAAGAGATTGAAATAAGCTATGGGTAAAACAAAGCCAGTAACTCAGCTGCTAGACCCCAGCACTGAAGTCTCACCCGTCAACTTTTTTTTTTTTTTAATAAACTTTATGGCTGTTTGTTCTATAACTAGAAATTCTCACTCAGGTACACAGTGCCAACAAGTGGCTTGTGAATGTGTTTTGTTGTTTTGTGCTACAATTTTTTAAAAAGAAATAAGTTTTGTTTTGTTTTGTTTGGGGGATGGTTCTGGGGTTTTCTTTTACCTTTTTGTTCCTTTGTGATTGTTGTCTTGCACCTGACAGAAAGAGGGAGACGGACACTTGTTCCCTCTGCCCTCTCTCTCTCTCTCTCTTCTGCTTTAAAGATGGGGTCCTGTGTGTGAGGGTGGGGGAAGAGAGGAAAAACTAAGAGCCTGGTTTTGCCTTCCTTGCTTCTACATCACACAATCAGCAATCATTTCCTGTAGAGACCTCTAACTCTTGCACACAACACTACATCTTTTAAGCAAGTGCCAGCTGAAGCGATCACCAACTTCATTTTCCTTCATTTTCTACTCCTTCATTACTCCTGTTCCTCCTTAAGTTGGGACAGTGTTAAACCTTAGACAGTCCCTGGAAAGAGCTGATACACCAGCAACTGGTGAGATTGATTTTTTTTTTTTTTTTTAATGGAAACTGTAGGTGCTGTTCTCAGGTGAAAAGAGAGAGAGAGATAGAAATTTAGAGAAAAAATATTTTCTGATCTTGGATTTCTGTGTGTGTATGTGTGGGATTATGGTACATTAGACACATTCCTATTAGGGAATAATGTTGGGACATTGTAAGCAAAGCCCACATATGGGAATGGAATCCCACCTCTCCTAAGCAAGTGGTCTAGAAGCAAACTTGACCTTGACTTTGCATGTCCAGTGACAGTGGAACTAAGTGTAGGGCTAAGAAATTCTATTTTTCAGTTTCTAGTATATTATTGGGTGGACCTGGTAGCCCGGTGTCATGGAGATGTGCTTGGCAAACATGGGAGCTACCAACCAAATGCTTCCTGAGGTCCCTTTTCCCTGGAAAATTTGCTTCTTCTAATGTTTGCTACTTAACTTAGTGGTGTGTGTGTGTGTGTGTGTGTGTGTGTGTTTCCTGTTGAAACTTTGAGTAAAACAATCATTTTTTTAACTGCATATATTTGGCCATTTTTCAGAGACACAGAATTAGGGTGTATCTCCACCAGTCCATCTTTTCCTGATCAGGAACTGGTAGTTCTATAAGAATTCCTATTCATCTCTCCATGCAATGAGGTCAGAGACTGCATTTTACAAATGGGGGCCAAGTGTAGTCCATGCCATAAGAACCAGGATTTGGTTATAATTCCTACAGCACCACCAAGCAGACCCTTACTTCTGTATGGTCCTTCATGTTGACTTGAGTCTGCTAAAGATCAATTGCTGGTACCAGCAGAGTCCTTGCTGGGAGCAACAGCCAATGGTGACAGGACTGGTGATCTTGACATCACCAACGGAAGGGCCAAGGCAGGGGTAGGACCTAGTCAAAGAAACCCAGAATCATTTCAGGTCACTCACTACAGTTAGTGTTTAGTATCAGTCAGTCAGCACTGTAGCCAGTGGCCTGGGTACGTTACACTGTAGCCAGTGGCCTGGATATGTTACATTATAGAGCCAATGGCCTGGATATGTTACACTGTAGCCACTAGTCTGGGTATGTTACACTGTAGCCAGTAGCCTGGGTATGTTACACTGTAGCCAGTGGTCTGGATATAGTACAGTGTTACATCGTGTTTTCATTTTGCCCCACCAAACAATGCCCTCAAGTTTGATTTTTCTGCACAAATAAGCAAAAACAAAAACACACATACACAAAAAAGAAGTAAAATCCTTTTTGTTTTTCTCTCTCTCAAAAGTCTTGCTCTGAGGTTTTGCTTGGAAGAGCTGATCATACCTGCATGTCAGAGGTTTGGTTCTATTTTCTGTTTGTGGTTTGTTTGTTGTTTTATTTTTTTAATGACTGTATTTTCCTTTGAATTGCCTTTTTTTGCTAGTGTTGTAAAATGATGATAAAATAATAATAATAATAATAATAGTAATAATGATAATAATAATAATAATAACGGTCAGCTGTTCCCAGATTAGTAAATTATGTATAATTTATTTTATTTCTCCCTTTATATTTTATTCTGATTTGATTTGGAAGTACAGCCAGTAAGCTGTTAGGTATTTAAAACTAATTTCCAGCTCTTATACACATGTACACACATACATGTATGTGCATATGATACACACATACTCATCCACACACTTGCTTCTCCATCTGTGACTTCCTCTGTGTTATCAGTTTGGGGCCCGGAAGTGTCAGTTCAGGTGTTCAATATGAAGGGGTGAATTAGTAGGAGGGTTGTGTTCAATCTTAATTAACTTATGCTCTTTTCTCTCATTTTAGTTATTTAATTACCAATTATCTAGAGCCAAGTTTTTGTTTTTGTTTGTTTTGAAGCACTCTGAATAAGAGAAAAAATAGACACTTGTTTTTATACCATTATAACATACAATGTGAAAACAGATTTATTTAAAAAAAAAAAAAAACTGTTTCTCTGTGTCTGTTAACAAACCCTCCTGACTGATGTGGATTGTCCACTTGCATATGCTGGGTTCCTATCTCACAGTACATTCTAGACAAGCTTGCTTTTCCTTCCTTAACCTTGGGCAACAAGAATACTTTGTAGGTCCACATAGATGCTACTGAAGGCATCCATGGCCAAAACCCATGCCAATACAGCCCTGTCTGAGCAGACTCTCTCTGTGTCAGCCTTTGTCTTATTTGAAGGGAAAACAAATTGTTCGTGGTGACCTGCAGCTGCCGAAACTCTCCAGTTTAGTTGAGTTTATGTCTGTGATTGAACTGTGCCCAGAGAAAACCACAAAGCAAGTCTATGATGTCCTGTCATAGTCTGCCCAGTCAGTTTCTTCAGTGGATGTTCAGCTTGCTCTGCCCAACAGTTTTCCATGGGGAACAATAAAAACAAAGGCAATTCTATTCATGTCTAAAGAGCACTGATGTCACTTGGAAAAACCAAACAAAAAAGGTGCTTTTAATAGCAACTTAACTGTATTAATACCTTGCCCTTTGGGCCTCTGATTGGGTGGTGATTTTTGGAAAGGAACCGAAAACCTTATATTCTTTTCTGTGCCACACAATGACCGAACAAGATATGGAAGAGGAAATAAGACACACCAAGAAAAATCAAAGTTAGCAAACTGAATCCCACCTTCCTCTCCCCTGTCTCTCTGTTCAAGCCACACCCACCCTCCTTCCTTTCCCCTGCCTGTCTGTTCAAGCCACACCCCCATCTTCCCTCATCATCCCTACATTTGTAACAACACTGAAGAACAATACTGCCAGTTTCTCCTTCATATATTTGTAATTGGTACCTCTAAAAATAGCCCAGTTAGATATAAATCTAAGAAAAATGTTCACCAGGAAAAAAATGGGTTACAGTTGCTTGTAAGTTAATGATAATTTGGCTAGTTACTACAATCAGGAGGAGCACACATGCACACACACTAGCATATTTTTGCTCAGATTAATCAAGCGAACTTTAAAAGTTCATTTGGTATCTATCGAAGAATTACCTTTGTGCAAAACACCTCCCAATAAATATATTTATCATGATAGAAACCAAATCTTCCCATAGGGAATGGATATTGAAGTATTAAGTGTTCTTTAATGATGTAACTTCTTTTGTTTGATTTCTGAAGTGCAGACACGTTAGTTCACTTAAAGGAAGTTATCTCTACCATTTTATGGCCCTTTTCTCAATATTTTCTTAATGCACAAGCTGATACTGTTCTCAGAGGACTCCTATCTCATTTAAAAACATAAGAATTAGACTTTCCTTACTCTAAAGGGTAAATTATTGAATTGTAATAACTGTATATTTACAAACAGGTTTATGAAATATTTGTCTATCAAGTTAATAGTGAAATAAAACTTTAGAAGGTCTAAAAGAAAAAAAAACCCACTTAAAGTGGCTGAGCTCTCTCTGTCTTGTAGGGCACAAGGCATTTCTTTAGCCAGGTTTATACAGTATTTAATTTTACAATTCTGCAGGTTCAAAGTGGCGTGTTGCATTTCCTACTGACAGGCCCCTGTCTGCCACAGGGTGTCTGTCACTGGCCCACTAGACAGTATTTATTCAGCTCCCCTGGCTCGAATGCACTTAGTCTTTCTAACAGTTTGGATTTCACAAGTGAAAAGGTTTTGTTTGTTTGTTTTTTTTTAATGATTAAAAAAATAGAAAAGAGACAATCAATGCCTGGACTAAAAACAAAGTATGTGCGAACCACCATCTCACTTGAAATTTAATAAAGTAAAAAAAGTGTGTAAATATAACATAGAGTTATAGATTTCTATTTTGTTCATAACACATAGTGTAATATAAGTTGTATATTTTCATGTTTTTGGTTTTATGTTATCATTCATGCCACAATAAGAATAAAACAGGAGTTGGTGTACTCTTGGGAAAAACAAAAACAAAAAAAAAAAAAACAAAAACAAAAACAAAAAAAAAAAAAAAAAAAAAACAAGATGTGGGTCCCCACCAACTTGTTGTTTGCTTTTCTGTTTCTGTTTTCATTTCCTTTTGTTTTGTTTTGCATTCCCTTTTTCAGTATTACTGCCGTGCAAGGCACCAATAAAAACAGCAAATGTGTTCTTTATCTATTATACTGTGTTTCTCTGCACGATTTGTTGATGAAAGGGTAACTGTTCATTTGTGAGAAAAAGAGAAGTCTGGAGAAGCTGTCACCTTCTCTGGAAATATCATGCCATTGACTGACTTTGAACTGAGAACTAAGGGTGTCAGTCCTCCTAACACAGGACTCAGGCACGCCTGAGTCACTGACTCAGAGACAACAGTCTCCATGCTTCTAAGGACACTTCAATGGGTGAGGGTTGCTATTCTTATACCCTGTAGTTACACTCTATCCCAGTATGTGAGTGGCAAGTTTCCTAATGTCAGCTCATACAGAACTACGTGCCAGGAAACATTTTTTACCTGAGTGAGGTGCAGTTTTAATTGTAGCCACTTCTAGGTTGCTCACAACACACCTTAGCCTCCCGAGT